TTTGCACACGCTAGGCCCTTGCTCTTGCTATTTTGCACTCGCTAGGCCCTTGTTCTTGCAATTTTGCACACGCTAGGCCCTTGTTCTTGCAATTTTGCACACGCTAGGCCCTTGTTCTTGCAATTTTGCACATGCTAGACCCTTGTTCTTTTTATTTTGCACACGCTAGGTCCTTGCTCTTGCTATTTCGCGAACGCTAGGCCCTTGTTCTTGATTTTTTGCACACGCTAGGCCCTTGCCCTTGCTATTTTGCACTCGCTAGGCCCTTGTTCTTGCAATTTTGCATACGCGAGGCCCTTGTTCTTTTTATTTTGCACACGCTAGGCCCTTGTTCTTTTTATTTTGCACAAGCTATGCCCTTGATCTTTTTTATTTTGCACACGCTATGCCCTTGTTCTTTTTATTTTGCACACGCTAGGCCCTTCTTCTTGCAATTTTGCACATGCAAGACCCTTGTTCTTTTTATTTTGCACACGCTAGGCCCTTGTTCTTGCTATTTTGCGAACGCTAAGCCCTTGTTCTTGATTTTTTGCACACGCTAGGCCCTTGCTCTTGCTATTTTGCACTCGCTAGGCCCTTGTTCTTGCAATTTTGCACACGCTAGGCCCTTGTTCTTGCAATTTTGCACACGCTAGGCCCTTGTTCTTGATATTTTGCACACGCTAGGCCCTTGTTCTTTTCATTTTGCACACGCTAGGCCCTTGTTCTTGATATTTTCCACACACTATGCCCTTGTTCTTTTTATTTTGCACACGCTAGGCCCTTGTTCTTGCAATTTTGCACATGCTAGACCCTTGTTCTTTTAATTTTGCACACGCTAGGCCCTTGTTCTTGCTATTTCGCGAACGATAGGCCCTTGTTCTTGATTTTTTGCACACGGTAGGCCCTTGCTCTTGCTATTTTGCACTCGCTAGGCCCTTGTTCTTGCAATTTTGCACACGCTAGGCCCTTGTTCTTGCAATTTTGCACACGCTAGGCCCTTGTTCTTTCTATTTTGCACACGCTAGGCCCTTGTTCTTGCAATTTTGCACACGCTAGGCCCTTGTTCTTTTTATTTTGCACACGCTAGGCCCTTGTTCTTTTTATTTTGCACACGCTATGCCCTTGATCTTTTTTATTTTGCACACGCTATGCCCTTGTTCTTTTTATTTTGCACACGCTAGGCCCTTCTTCTTGCAATTTTGCACATGCTAGACCCTTGTTCTTTTTATTTTGCACACGGTAGGCCCTTGTTCTTGCTATTTTGCGAACGCTAAGCCCTTGTTCTTGATTTTTTGCACACGCTAGGCCCTTGCTCTTGCTATTTTGCACTCGCTAGGCCCTTGTTCTTGCAATTTTGCACACGCTAGGCCCTTGTTCTTGCACTTTTGCACACGCTAGGCCCTTGTTCTTTTCATTTTGCACACGCTAGGCCCTTGTTCTTTTCATTTTGCACACGCTAGGCCCTTGTTCTTGCTATTTTCCACACACTATGCCGTTGTTCTTTTTATTTTGCACACGTTAGGCCCTTGTTCTTGCAATTTTGCACATGCTAGACCCTTGTTCTTTTAATTTTGCACACACTAGGCCCTTGTTCTTGCTATTTCGGGAACGCTAGGCCCTTGTTCTTGATTTTTTGCACACGGTAGGCCCTTGCTCTTGCTATTTTGCACTCGCTAGGCCCTTGTTCTTGCAATTTTGCACATGCTAGGCCCTTGTTCTTTCTATTTTGCACACGCTAGGCCCTTGTTCTTGCAATTTTGCACACGCTAGGCCCTTGTTCTTTTTATTTTGCACACGCTAGGCCCTTGTTCTTTTTATTTTGCACACGCTAGGCCCTTGTTCTTGCTATTTTGCACACGCTATGCCCTTGTTCTTTTTATTTTGCACACGCTAGGCCCTTGTTCTTGCAATTTTGCACACGCTAGGCCCTTGTTCTTTTTATTTTGCACACGCTAGGCCCTTGTTCTTTTTATTTTGCACACGCTGGGCCCTTGTTCTTGCTAATTTGCACACGCTATGCCCTTGTTCTTTTTATTTTGCACACTCTTGGCCCTTGTTCTTGCAATTTTGCACATGCTAGACCCTTGATCTTTTCATTTTGCACATGCTAGGCAATTGCTCTTGCTTTTTCGCGAACGCTAGGCCCTTGTTCTTGATTTTTTGCACACGCTAGGCCCTTGCTCTTGCTATTTTGCACTCGCTAGGCCCTTGTTCTTGCAATTTTGCACACGCTAGGCCCTTGTTCTTGCAATTTTGCACACGCTAGGCCCTTGTTCTTTCTATTTTGCACACGCTAGGCCCTTGTTCTTGCAATTTTGCACACTCTAGGCCCTTGTTCTTTTTATTTTGCACATGCTAGGCCCTTGTTCTTTTTATTTTGCACACGCTAGGCCCTTGTTCTTGCTATTTTGCACACGCTATGCCCTTGTTCTTTTTATTTTGCACACGCTAGGCCCTTGTTCTTGCAATTTTGCACACGCTAGGCCCTTGTTCTTTTTATTTTGCACACGCTAGGCCCTTGTTCTTTTTATTTTGCACACGCTGGGCCCTTGTTCTTGCTAATTTGCACACGCTATGCCCTTGTTCTTTTTATTTTGCACACTCTTGGCCCTTGTTCTTGCAATTTTGCACATGCTAGACCCTTGACCTTTTCATTTTGCACATGCTAGGCAATTGCTCTTGCTTTTTCGCGAACGCTAGGCCCTTGTTCTTGATTTTTTTGCACACGCTAGGCCCTTGCTCTTGCTATTTTGCACTCGCTAGGCCCTTGTTCTTGCAATTTTGCACACGCTAGGCCCTTGTTCTTGCAATTTTGCACACGCTAGGCCCTTGTTCTTGCAATTTTGCGCATGCTAGACCCTTGTTCTTTTTATTTTGCACACGCTAGGTCCTTGCTCTTGCTATTTCGCGAACGCTAGGCCCTTGTTCTTGATTTTTTGCACACGCTAGGCCCTTGCTCTTGCTATTTTGCACTCGCTAGGCCCTTGTTCTTGCAATTTTGCACACGCTAGGCCCTTGTTCTTGCAATTTTGCACACGCTAGGCCCTTGTTCTTTTTATTTTGCACACGCTAGGCCCTTGTTCTTTTTATTTTGCACACGCTAGGCCCTTGTTCTTGCTATTTTGCACACACTATGCCCTTGTTCTTTTTATTTTGCACACGCTAGGCCCTTGTTCTTTTTATTTTGCACACGCTATGCCCTTGATCTTTTTTATTTTGCACACGCTATGCCCTTGTTCTTTTTATTTTGCACACGCTAGGCCCTTGTTCTTGCAATTTTGCACATGCTAAACCCTTGTTCTTTTTATTTTGCACACGCTAGGCCCTTGTTCTTGCTATTTTGCGAACGCTAAGCCCTTGTTCTTGATTTTTTGCACACGCTAGGCCCTTGCTCTTGCTATTTTGCCTTGTTCTTGCAATTTTGCACACGCTAGGCCCTTGTTCTTGCAATTTTGCACACGCTAGGCCCTTGTTCTTTTTATTTTGCACACGCTAGGCCCTTGTTCTTTTTATTTTGCACACGCTAGGCCCTTGTTCTTGCTATTTTGCACACGCTAGGCCCTTGTTCTTTTTATTTTGCACACGCTAGGCCCTTGTTCTTGCAATTTTGCACATGCTAGACCCTTGTTCTTTTAATTTTGCACACGCTAGGCTCTTGTTCTTGCTATTTCGCGAACGCAAGGCCCTTGTTCTTGATTTTTTGCACACGCTAGGCCCTTGCTCTTGCTATTTTGCACTCGCTAGGCCCTTGTTCTTGCAATTTTGCACACGCTAGGCCCTTGTTCTTGCAGTTTTGCACACGCTAGGCCCTTCTTCTTTTTATTTTGCACACGCTAGGCCCTTGTTCTTTTTATTTTGCACACGCTGGGCCCTTCTTCTTGCTATTTTGCACACGCTATGCCCTTGTTCTTTTTATTTTGCACACGCTTGGCCCTTGTTCTTGCAATTTTGCACATGCTAGACCCTTGATCTTTTCAATTTGCACACGCTAGGCAATTGCTCTTGCTATTTCGCGAACGCTAGGCCCTTGTTCTTGCAATTTTGCACACGCTAGGCCCTTGTTCTTTTTATTTTGCATACGCTAGGCCCTTGTTCTTTTTCTTTTGCACACGCTGGGCCCTTGTTCTTGCTATTTTGCATACGCTATGCCCTTGTTCTTTTTATTTTGCACACGCTTGGCCCTTGTTCTTGCAATTTTGCACATGCTAGACCCTTGATCGTTTCATTTTGCACACGCTAGGCAATTGCTCTTGCTATTTCGCGAACGCTAGGCCCTTGTTCTTGATTTTTTGCACACGCTAGGCCCTTGCTCTTGCTATTTTGCACTCGCTAGGCCCTTGTTCTTGCAATTTTTCACACGCTAGGCCCTTGTTCTTGCAATTTTGCACACGCTAGGCCCTTGTTCTTGCAATTTTGCACATGCTAGACCCTTGTTCTTTTTTTTTTGCACACGCTAGGTCCTTGCTCTTGCTATTTCGCGAACGCTAGGCCCTTGTTCTTGATTTTTTGCACACGCTAGGCCCTTGCTCTTGCTATTTTGCACACGCTAGGCCCTTGTTCTTGCAATTTTGCACACGCTAGGCCCTTGTTCTTGCAATTTTGCACACGCTAGGCCCTTGTTCTTTTTATTTTGCACACGCTAGGCCCTTGTTCTTTTTATTTTGCACACGCTAGGCTCTTGTTCTTGCTATTTTGCACACGCTATGCCCTTGTTCTTTATATTTTGCACACGCTAGGCCCTTGTTCTTGCAATTTTGCACATGCTAGACCCTTGTTCTTTTTATTTTGCACACATTAGGCCCTTGTTCTTGCTATTTTGCGAACGCTAAGCCCTTGTTCTTGATTTTTTGCACACGCTAGGCCCTTGCTCTTGCTATTTTGCACTCGCTAGGCCCTTGTTCTTGCAATTTTGCACACGCTAGGCCCTTGTTCTTGCAATTTTGCACACGCTAGGCCCTTGTTCTTTTTATTTTGCACACGCCAGGTATATATATATATATGTCACAGTACAAGTGAAGTCAAGAGGAGAGCAAGTGAGGCAAGACAGGCACAAGACCCAGCTGGGTGCAAAAGCGCTGATGGTCACAAGGCGCGAGTGCCTTGGTGAACACATCAGCAGTGTTGGCCTCAGAGGCCACGTACGCAAGTCGCAACTGACCACGCTGCTGCAGCTCACGAGCAAGGAAGTAGCGAAGAGCAATGTGCTTCGTTCTGTGCTCCAAGCGCTGCTCTCGACACAAGGCCAGCATGGCCTTGTTGTCTACGTACAGCACTGGAGGAGAACGAGGCGGCTCTCCAAGGTCAGTCAGCAGGTAGGTGAGCCAGCGAAGCTCCTGTGCAGCCATGGCCCCGACGTAGATCTCAGCCTCACAACTGGAGCTGAGAACAGAGGACGAGCGAGTAGACCGCCACAAGACAGAGCCGGAACCAAGGCTGAAGGTGTAACCCTGTGACGACCGCTGCGTAGTCTGGTCGTCAGCCCAAGAAGCGTACGCGTGGCCGGTAAGGACCACTGGACTCCGCCCTCCAAGCACTAGCCCCAAGCCCGACGTACTGCACAGGTAGCGCAATACCCTCTTCGCTGCAGCCATGTGCTCCGGTCTGTGTCTCCCAGGAGCAACATAGCGTGCAAGAATGCTCAGAGGGTATGCAAGGTCAGGTCGTGTGCAGGTCATCAGGTACATGAGGCAGCCAACAAGCTCCGCATACGGACCACTCGACTCTACGGACTCATCCGAAGGCAGAGCTGAGAGTGAGTGGCGAGTAGGCAGAGGAGTGGCCTGAGGCGAGGAGTACGTGAAGCCGAAGCGCTGAAGGACCTGCTGCACCATGTGTGACTGAGTCAAGATAATGGTGCGGCGTGCTCTGTCCCGAGTGATCTGCAAGCCAAGGTAGCTGCGCAGTTCACCCAGGTCTGTGCACGTGTGTCTCTTCAGCAGCTCGGACTTCACGTAGGCGAGTCCAGCAGTGTCCGCTGTGGCAAAGACCAAGTCGTCGACGTACACGAGGATGTAGAACGGCGGCAGGGAAGTGTCGGTGCGAAGAAACAGCGACGGGTCAGCAGAAGAAGGAGCAAACCCAAGAGCCGCAAGCGTAGTCCTCAGTGTGTCGTGCCACTCACGCGGTGCCTGGCGGAGACCGTAGACTGGCCGTACGAGGCTCCACTGGGTGCCAGGAGGGAAAGTCCCAGTGAAGCCAGGTGGACGGCGAAGCCAGATCTCCTCGTGCAGGCTACCCTGCAAGAACGCAGTGCTGAAGTCGAGAGAGTGAAGCTCGTAGTCGCGCTGAGCGGCTATGTGCAGCAGCACCCGAAGAGTAGTCATCTTCGGGGTGGGAGAGAAGGTCTGGAAGTAGTCAACTCCTTGCCGCTGACTGAAGCCACGAGCAACGTACCGTGCCTTGAAGACAGGTGGAGAGCCCGGCGGCCGCTTCACCCTGAAGATCCACATGCCACTGACGATGTTCGCCCCAGGAGGGGGAACCGCGTCAACGTAGGTGCCTGTGGACTTCCAGGAAGCCATCTCTGCATCCATAGCTGCCTGCCACTGAGAGGAGTAGGGACCCTCTACGGCCTCCGCGTAAGAACGCGGAGTCGGGATGTCTAGTGCATCCGGGTCTCCCTCAGGGGCAAGCAGTACAGACGCGAGATGAGGTGAAGCAGCCACTAGACACTGTAACTCCTCCTGCCTGTCCTCTAGGACGTCCGTGCCAAGAGCACACTCACCCCCGACGGACGGAGGACAGACAGACGCAGACTCAGCAACAAGACTAGCAGCGTAGTCGAGACGACAGCGAGCAGCAAAGTCGACGAGCTCAGCGACTAGAGCAGACGCAGCAGTGGACTCAAAAGAGGGGTCAGTGACGACAGTAGCAAGCAGGCGCGTGACAGTAGGACTGGCAGCACGAAGAGAGTCCGACTCAGGGTCGGCAAGCGCAGGAAGAGAGGACTCAGGAGGAGAAGGCAAAGGGGCGCGCAGAGGAGCAGTGGACGGACGCAAAGACATCCGGTGCGTGCCAGGGACAGGAGGAGGACGCTGACGCGAACTGCGACCACTAGCGCGAGCAGCACGAACAGGCAACGCGGGACGAGACGCAGGCTCACGACGCTCAGCAAGACCTCCAGTAGGACCAGTGTAAGGAGAGGGAGCAGGCAGTGGAGAGGAAGGCTCCAGCAGGGACTGCGACTGGACAGGCGGTGGACCCTCTACTGGAGGATAAAGACCAAGAACCTGCCGCAGGAGCGGAACGAAGTACGGCCGAGGCCGCGCGGCAGCTCCAGACTCAGCAGGGACAGCACCAGCACCCTCAGCGACAGCACCAGCGCCACCCACACCTCCAGCGGCAGGACCAACAGCAGTAGGCTCAGCACCAACGCCCTCAGCAGCTCCAGTTCCAGGAGGACCCGCAGGTTCAGCAGCTCCGGGACCGGCAGCACCCGCACCCTCGACGGTCGAAGAAGCTCCAGCTCCAGCTCCAGCAGCACCTCCAGACTCAGCAGCACGCCTCCAGCGGCGAGCAAACCACTCACGCAACTCCTGTGGAGAGAGGGGCTCCCGGCGAGACGCAGCAGCTGGAGAAACCCCAGGCTCAGCAGCTCCAGACGCAGCACCCCCAGGCTCAGCAGCTCCCAGCTCAGCACCCCCAGGCTCAGCAGCTCCCGACCCAGCACCCCCAGACCCAGCACCTCCAGGCACAGCACCCCCCGACTCAGCACCCCCAGGCTCCGCACCCTCCGAAGGAGCACCCCCAGGCCCAGCACCCCCAGCAGTAGCACCCCCAGGCTCAGCACCCCCGCGCACAGCACCCCCAGAGTCAGCACCCCCAGGCTCAGCACCCGCAGCAGCACCAGAGTCACCACTAACCTCGACCGGGTCAACAGCGTCTACCTGGGACACACCTGAGGGGGCAGGAACCTGAGGGGGGAGGGGGTCTACCGGGGGGGGAACCGGCACAAGGAAGTCCGGGGGAGGGGGGAGGGAAGGAGTGCGGTAGGGGAAGAGACGGTAGAAGGGGACTGACTCGTCGAACGTGACGTCCTGGGAGGACAGAACACGACGAGAGGAGGGGTGGTAAAACTGCCACCCTGGGGCGTCAGTGGGGAAGCCAAGGAAGACACAGGGAGCAGCACGAGGGGACAGCTTGTCCGCAGACAAGTCGCGGACAAACGCCCGAGATCCCCAGACACGGAACACAGACGCATCGCCAACCTTCCCCGTCCACAGCAAGGCTGGGGACATCGCAGGCCGAGAGACCCGGGGGTGAAGGTTGAGCTGATGCGCCGCGTACCTCACCGCAAACGGCCACAGAAAATGGGGGGCAGCCGCATGCATCATGGACGTACGAGCGACATCCATGACCATGCCAATGCGGCGCTCAGCAATCCCATTTTGCTGTGGTGAGTCCGGAAGCGTGAAGGTCTGGCGAATCCCCCGTGCACGACAGTAGTCCCGCAGAAGGCGAGAAGAGAACTCTCCGCCTCTGTCCGAGTGCAGACGCAGAACAGGAAAGTCCGAGCCGAAGCTCTGCCTGAGCTGGAGACGAGCCTCGCGGATCCAGTCGATCAGCACCTCAGTGACCGCACCCTTGCTGCGCAAGGGGAGGACTGTGGTGTAACGCGAGTAGTCGTCAACCACCAACAGGAAGTAGCGCTCGTAGCCCTGCCCACGGACGGGGGCTGGGCCCCACACATCCATGTGAAGCGTCTGCAGGGGAGCCTCTGTCGGGGGGAAGTGGGAGGAGTGAGGAGTAGCCCGGAGGCGACCCTCGACACAGGGGACACAGGAAGGTCCTGGCCCGGAGGGGAGAGGAGGGAGAGACTGGGGAAGACCAGAGACAAGGACACGGGAAGCCATGCTCCGAAGACGGGGCAAGGAGGGGTGGCCAAGACGGTGGTGCCACAGGAGAGTCTCGTGAGACAGGAGACGACAGGAACAGGGGGCAGACTCAGGACCTGACCGGGACGCAGCAGCAAACACCTGACCTGACGCAGCTACCCGACCGGACGCAGGGACAGGAGGAGACGAAGTGGTCAGGGTGTAGAGACTCGACCCTGGCCGACGCGAGAAGGTGGCCAGGTGTCGGCCTGTGCGTGCGTCCGTGCAGTGGGTCACCCGCTGACTCGCAGGAGTGAACTGGTGAACCCCCGCATCCTGCAGGGCTGCACCACTCACCAAGTTCGTAGAGAACGAGGGAAGGTACAGACCAGACAGGGTGCCCGAAGGGGCAGCCGGACACGGGAGGACAGTGGAGAAGTGAGACAGGACAGGACCCCCAGAGGGGTCAGCAAGGGAGACCGCAACCGGCCGGCCAAGCGGCGTAAGGGTAGTGCGGTCTCGAAAGAAGGAGCGAGAAGCCCCTGAGTCAAGTGTGAAAGTGAGGGAGGACGAGGGCGACGCAGTACCTGAGAGCGCAGTCTCACCAGTACCTGAGAGCGCAGATGCAATGGCACCTAGAGCAGTAGCCTCACAAGCACCTAGCGCAGCAGTACCAATGCCCGGGTCCGGCTGGAAACACCGGTAACCCTCATTCTCCTCACTATAATCCACAGCATACATAGCAGCAAGGATAGCATCAAAATCAAGATCAAAGATCGCTACACCAGCCCTGAGAAGCTCATCCCAGCGAGGGATCTCACTAGCCCCAGGGAACTGCTGACGCCAAGCGTCCGTCAGGCGGCCAAAGCAGCGCTGGGTGGCGTGGGCACCCCCACACTGCTCACCCGCGTGGTCGCCGGAACGAAGAACGTAGGTGCAGGGACCAGTACCCCCACCCCTCTGACGCCCAGCGTACCACTCTCGAAGCTGCTGAGGCGGAGGGATGTCCCGCGAGCGCTGCTGCTGCTGCCGCTGCGAGCGCTGGCCACCACCACCGCCGCGACGCTGCTGGGTACCACCCCGACCAGCTCCACCTCCTCCACCACCACTGCCTCCTCCGCTGCCGCCTCCACCGCCTCCACCTCCGCCGCCTCCACCTCCGCCGCTGCCTCCACCACCACCGCTGGCACCACCACCACCGTCTCCGCCGCTGCTGCCACCACCACCACCACCCCCGCTACTAGTCCCGCCGCCACCCCCACTCCCTCCGCCGCCACCGCCGCCACCGCCACCGCCCCCTCCAGCTCCACCCGCACCCTTGCCCCCCTTGCCCTTGCTGGAGCGACGTCTCCCACCAGGGGTAGACGCCGCGCCGACCGACTCAAGACCAAGCAGGTCGGCAGCAGCAGCAGAGGCAACAGAGGGCAGCAAGGGGGAAGGAGAGCACCCCTCAAAGATGGGGGTGCGAGGGTCACCACGAGAAGCACCTACAGCGACTATGCTCTTCTCCGCTGCGAGGAGGGCCTTCTCGAGGAGGTCGACGGTGAGGGTGGTGGGACAGACTGCGAGAAAGTGGTCCCTGACGACGCGAAGGGAGTCAGGGAGGCGCGCGACTACGTAGTAGAGAGCGATGTACATGGGAGGTGGGTTCTTAGCGCAGAACTCAGCAGGAAGGGCGGCGCGGGTAGCGAGTGTCACTAGAGCGGAGGTGCGTAATGAGGTCAGCAACAGTGGGAAAGGCAGAGAGGTCAGGAAAGAGGTAGGGAAGCATGAGACGGCTCAGTGCAGCAGTGGCAAAAAAGGAGTAGCGCACAACTACAGCGTCGTACAAGGTCTGAGCACTCTTGTAATGACTAAAGTGCGCACGCTCAGAGGTAGGGAGGTGGCGACGCACAGCAAGACGTGCAGCAGCATCGCGGGTGGCCCACTGAGAGCGGACAGTGGGATCAGCATCAGCAGCAGGAGCAGGAGAGGCGCCAGAGGTGAGGTCAAAGAGAGAAAGGTCATCAGCCCTGTCGCACTGTAAGAACAGCTGCAGGTCGTCTAACCAGACCTCAAAATCAATGGCGCGACCCTCAGCGTCAAAAGCTAGGACACTAGGGGTAGCCATGGCGACGACAGCGACGCAGTGCAAGCAGTAGGGAAAGAGCTCGCAGTGTCAGTGGGACTGTGCTCACCAGGCAGGGCAGGTCGTGCAGCTCTGCAGAAAGGCGGCTCAGCGACCGGGCGGCTCGGGTGCACAGCGGCTCGGCTCCCGGGCGGCTCGGCTGCTGGGCGGCTCGGCTCCCGGGCGGCTCGGCGGCAGGGCGGCTCGGGCGCAGGGCGGCTCGGCTCCCGGGCGGCTCGGCGGCAGGGCGGCTCGGGTCCCGGGCGGCTCGGCGTTGGGCGGCTCGGCTCCCGGGCGGTTTGGCTGCTGGGGCGGCTCTGCTGCTGGGGCGGCTCGGCCGGGAGATGCAGGGGCGGGGCCGTCAGGTGCAGCTGCGGGTCGACCGGTGCAGCGGCGGGCCGGCAGGTGCAGCGACGGGGCCGTAGGGTGCAGCGGCGGGCCGACCAGGTGAGGCGGCGGGCCGTAGGGTGCAGCGGCGGGCCGTAGGGTGCAGCAGCGGGCCGGCAGGTGCAGCGGCGGGGCCGTCAGGTGAAGCGGCGGGCCGCTGGGTGCAGCGGCGGGCCGGCAGGTGCAGCGGCGGGCCGGCAGGTGCAGCGGCGGGGCCGTCAGGGGAGGCGGCGGGCCGTAGGGTGCAGCGGCGGGCCGCAGGGTGCAGCGGCGGGCCGGCAGGGCCACGTCAGAGCCGGCGGCGGGGCCGCGTCAGTGGAGGCGGCGGGGCCGCGTCAAGCAGGCGGCGGGGCCGCGACGAAGCGGGCGGCAGGGCCGCGTCAGAGCCGGCGGTGAGGCCGCGTCAGTGGAGGCGGCGGGGCCGCGTCAAGCAGGCGGCGGGGCCGCGATCAGGAGGGGTGGCGGGGCCGCGTCTGAGGGACAGCGGGGCCGCGAGGGAAATGGCGACCCGAGGGGTCGCTAAAAAAAAAGGGCGCGCCTCGGGGCGCGCTTCGGTGGGCCCTAAAAAAAACGGTCCTAAGGAAGGACCCGCTCTATACCATGTGAAATAAGTGAACAGGAATGGATCAACTAGCAGTGAAAAAAGTACAAGTAGGAAACCCTAGAATTGTGTACCCCCTATAGGCTAACCCACTGTAGCCTACACAAGCATAACATATATAATGTTTGACAGTTCTTGCAATTTTGCACACGCTAGGCCCTTGTTGTTGCAATTTTGCACACGCTAGGCCCTTGTTCTTGCAATTTTGCACACGCTAGGCCCTTATTCTTTTTATTTTGCATACACTAGTGTGAAGAAAGTAGGTAGAGCAAGGAGCCATAGCTAGGAATGACCTAGCTAGTCAAGAAACAAGTTAGGCAAAAGAGGATTGAACTAGCAGAAATGGGGATACAAATAGCAAACCCTAGAAGAGTTGTACTCGCTATAGAGCACCCCACTACAGGCTAGAACATAAGAATAACATTTTGACACACCCCCATAGCCAAAGTGGGGTGTAATCAGCAGAGCAGGCAAAACAGTACAAGCTCAGGGTGGATCACAATGTCACCACACATTCTGAGCACAAGTTCAAGAAGCAAAAGTTTAGAGTTCACAATTATGAGCAAAGCTAGTGGTAGTCACAACGGGCAAGTGAGGAGGAGGAGAGAGAGTGAGGGGGGGGGGGGGGGATAGGAGGCGACGTCTGAAGCTGCAGACACACGGGCAACAGGAGGCAGACTGGCACAGCGGCTACCGGACAGCGCTCGGACTACAGGAGTAACAGGCCCCGTGGCTAAAGTAGCGGCAGATGGGCAACGAACCCACGGGCGGCTGGCGTAGAAGTTTAGCTCACTGGGCTACCGGGACAGCGCCCCGGACTACAGGTGCTGCGGACAACAGTACGGCGACCTCCATTCAGTGTCCCCAAACAGTCCCACCCCCCCGACACACACCCGCTGCTACACCACTAGCTCCACTCCCACGCACCCCCCTTAAACCCTAAACCCCAGTCTCCCACACAACCACCCCCCTCAGCGACAGCTGCAGCAGTGGGAGACGAAGGAGGAGGAGGAGCAAAGGGATGAATGCACACCGGTCACCCCCATACCCGCAACCTAATTTTGCACACGCTAGGCCCTTGTTCTTTTTATTTTGCACACGCTAGGCCCTTGTTCTTTTTATTTTGCACACGCTGGGCCCTTGTTCTTGCTATTTTGTACACACTATGCCCTTGTTCTTTTTATTTTGCACACACTTGGCCCTTGTTCTTGCAATTTTGCACATGCTAGACCCTTGATCTTTTCATTTTGCACACGCTAGGCAATTGCTCTTGCTATTTCGCGAACGCTAGGCCCTTGTTCTTGATTTTTTGCACACGCTAGGCCCTTGCTCTTGCTATTTTGCACTCGCTAGGCCCTTGTTCTTGCAATTTTGCACACGCTAGGCCCTTGTTCTTGCAATTTTGCACACGCTAGGCCCTTGTTCTTGCAATTTTGCACATGCTAGACCCTTGTTTTTTTATTTTGCACACGCTAGGTCCTTGCTCTTGCTATTTCGCGAACGCTAGGCCCTTGTTCTTTTTATTTTGCACACGCTAGGCCCTTGCTCTTGCTATTTTGCACTCGATAGACCCTTGTTCTTGCAATTTTGCGCACGCTAGGCCCTTGTTCTTTTTATTTTGCACACGCTAGGCCCTTGTTCTTGCTATTTTGCACACGCTACGCCCTTGTTCTTTTTATTTTGCACACGCTAGGCCCTTGTTCTTGCTATTTTGTACACGCTATGCCCTTGTTCTTTTTATTTTGCACACGCTAGGCCCTTGTTCTTTTTATTTTGCACACGCAGGGCCCTTGTTCTTGCTATTTTGCATACGCAATGCCCTTGTGCTTTTTATTTTGCACACGCTTGGCCCTTGTTCTTGCAATTTTGCACATGCTAGACCCTTGATCTTTTCATTTTGCACACGCTAGGCAATTGCTCTTGCTATTTCGCAAACGCTAGGCCCTTGTTCTTGATTTTTTGCACACGCTAGGCCCTTGCTCTTGCTATTTTGCACTCGCTAGGCCCTTGTTCTTGCAATTTTGCAGACGCTAGGTCCTTGTTCTTGCAATTTTGCACACGCTAGGCCCTTGTTCTTGCAATTTTGCACATGCTAGACCCTTGTTCTTTTTATTTTGCACACGCTAGGTCCTTGCTCTTGCTATTTCGCGAACGCTAGGCCCTTGTTCTTTTTATTTTGCACACGCTAGGCCCTTGCTCTTGCTATTTTGCACTCGCTAGGCCCTTGTTCTTGCAATTTTGCACACGCTAGGCCCTTGTTCTTGCAATTCTGCACACACTAGGCCCTTGTTCTTTTTATTTTGCACACGCTAGGCCCTTGTTCTTTTTATTTTGCACACGCTAGGCCATTGTTCTTGCTATTTTGCACACGCTATGCCCTTGTTCTTTTTATTTTGCTCACGCTAGGCCCTTGTTCTTGCAATTTTGCACATGCTAGACCCTTGTTCTTTTTATTTTGCACACGCTAGGCCCTTGTTCTTGCTATTTTGCGAACGCTATGCCCTTGTTCTTGATTTTTTTGCACACGCTAGGCCCTTGCTCTTGCTATTTTGCACTCGCTAGGCCCTTGTTCTTGCAATTTTGCATACGCTAGGCCCTTGTTCTTGCAATTTTGCACACGCTAGGCCCTTGTTCTTTTTATTTTGCACACGCTTGGCCCTTGTTCTTTTTATTTTGCACACGCTAGGCCCTTGTTCTTGCTATTTTGCACACGCTATGCCCTTGTTCTTTTTTTTTTTGCACACGCTAGGACCTTGTTCTTGCAATTTTGCACATGCTAGACCCTTGTTCTTTTTATTTTGCACACGCTATGCCCTTGTTCTTGCTATTTCGCGAATGCTAGGCCCTTGTTCTTGATTTTTTGCACACGCTAGGCCCTTGCTCTTGCTATTTTGCACTCGCTAGGCCCT